GTTGATTTTAAAAGAACTTAATGGAGGGATTTTTTTTTATTATTATTAATTTATTTTTTTTTTACAGGCTAATTGTTTGCCAGGAAAAAGCCACTCAACCCTACAAACAGACTGGCCATCTGTTGGCCACGATGTTCATCTGGGATTTTTGGAGATGCAAAGTTGAATTTTAACAATTTTTTTATTATTACTGCAGGGGAGATCCAGCCCCTCACCAGTATGAGGGAGTGGGAACTCAACCCTGAAACATCCACAGCGGCCGGTTTATTTTTGACTGGTGGTTGGACGGTCTCTCACTCTCCTAGATTTTAAAGGTTTGGGGATTTTGGTGTTGTTTTCTTTTTTTTCTGTCCCAATGCAGAATGGGCAAAATGCTTTAAATCACTTTTCATTCTGACCGAATTTCCTACGAGCTCAACCCTGAACAATAGAGCCTTGATCTTGATAGGGGGCTGTGGATGTTACTGTAATGCTAATACACGGCCTTTGCGCTTCTGGCACATTTCAGGCACTATATAGGGAGTCTGTAATCAGCTGCAGAAAAATTCCCTTCTGTCTCTCTCCTAGCAACCCCTTCTGAACTGATATTTGAAAATAAGCTTGCTTTCCGTATCACCATCTAAATATTTTCGACGCTTGCTGTCATTAAAATTCTCTTAATAGTCTTGGGACTAAGATAATTTATCTTCAGGTCCTCTGGACTCCCTGCTCATTTCTACGGTCTTAAGGTAAAGCTTTTGAATTTCTCTGTTAGCAGCCTGACTCGTATCCAGATTTTACTCTTTTCTCTTGACTTGTAGCCTGGCTATATTTGATGCAAAGTCAAATTAGTAGAGTGAGATGATAAGGAGATAAAAGCAGCAAGGCCAGAAGTCACCTAGACCGGTAGGAGCAAGCCGAGAGTCTTGAAAGGGAGTTGGTTGTCTTTTTGCTAAACTAAACTGGGACGTGTCAGGGGCTGGTTTTGGGTCTCTGTAATCCTGACGCCGTGTGCGTGCGACGTAGCCGTGTGCCCGGCTGTGGACACAGGGCAGGCTGCTCGGACCAGTGAGAACCGCTGGGTTGCCGCTGGAATTGAGAACATGTAAAGTTTTTATCCATTCCCTGCTCATTCTCTTTCTGAAAAATGGAGAGTTCAGCAACAGAGGGTGTCAGCATAGAGGAATCATAGAATCATAGAACGGTTTTGGCTGGAAGAGACCTTCAAGATCGAGTCCAACCTTTCTCCCAGCCCTATGAGCACCACTAACCCATGTCCTTCAACATCCACCCGTCTCTTAAACCCCTTCCGGGATGGCGACTCAACCCCTCCCTGGGCAGGCTGTGCCAGGGCCTGACAACCCTCTCAGTAAAGAAATTCCTCCCAATATCCAACCTGAACCTCCCCTGGTGCAACTTGAGGCCGTTTCCCCTCGTCTGTCACTCACCGCTAGGGAGAACAGACCAAAATTCGTCTGGACAGAGTAGACTGAAGCAAGGTGAGGGGTTTGTGGTTCGTCCCTGTAAATGCGTGTTTGAAGTCCCGAGCGCTTCCTGCGCGGATTTACGTCGGCAGCTGCTGAAAAAGGTGCGTGGGAATCCTGTGTACATGTCATAGAATCATGGAATGGCAAAAGCTGGAAAAGACTTTAGAGATCGTACGTAGCCATCCTGGGAGAAACGCGTGGGGGGCTGCTGAGAGCAGTCTGGTCACTTTAATTGTGGAAATCCTGTTCCACATTCTCTGAGGCTCTTTTCCTGGGGCTTCGCAAAGCTGTACACAATTTGCCAAAGACCTGGAGCGTTTCTCCTTCCTGGAAGCTACTTGGGCTCGCTGCAGGATCCAGCACGAGGCCCCGTCTAGCTCCAAACGTAGGAGAGAGAGAGAGGCTTATTGTGCCCTGGGCATGCCCAGGTTCCTTAAATCCTGTGGGTTTCCAAACTGGCAACTCTTTTTTGGGGTTTTTTTTTTGAGATAGCTGATTAATTACTGTTACATTTCAATTGAGATTTGGTTGGAAGACTTTTGCCTTACGGAAGAAATCTGCCTGAGCTGTGAAAATAGTTGGATCAGAGCCTGCGTTCTTTACCCTGAGATACGTTGCCGTGAGCCGTGGTGGGACGTTTCCTGGGAATGTGGCCTGGAGAGTCCCCCAAACGTGTGAAGTCCCTTCTGCAGTTCTTCCATGCTTTTTGCTTGGGCCACTAGAGGATTCCCAGGTCTGACTTTGTGGGATGGAGAAACCTTGAGGTCTGGGTTGAGTTCCTGGTCTTCTGGAGGCGTATTTCCTTTTCTGAAGACCTCCCGGAGATGGAAAGAGCTCATGGGGTGTAAATATTCTTCTTTCTGTAATTGCTCCATGCCCTCAAACATTTTGTTAGTGGGATTTTGAGATTTTGAATTCCTGGGCATCTTTACTTTTAGAGAAAACTCATGGAGAGAGGAAAGGGAAGATGGTTCACCTGACTTGGGTTAGAAAGTGGGAGCTCACCTGGAATTCTCTTCTGCTAACTGCGTTTCCAGAGGTTTCCTCTGTGTTGATGGAAGGGCTTCGTTGCTGAAACTCACTTTGCATTCAGTCCGTCCTCAAACTCTTGTATCATGTTAATAAATAACATGGTTGTTCCCAAACCTAGCATCAGCATCCCAGCAGTATCCTTTTTGTGAACCGGACGCACTTGCTGTTGTGGTTTTAGTTGTTTTTTTGTTTGTTTGTTTGTTTTTAAAAAAGGAATTTTAAGGCCTTGCCACAACAGGGAGAATAATCGAATATGGCACGAAATCGAATATTTCTTGAACTTGGAAACGCTTGGACTGAGTCTGAGTGCAGAAAGCTCTGCTTTAATTTATGGATGGCATTAACTTGCGGAGCCAAGGAGTGTAGAAGCTGCAGCCGCTCGGGAGCTCACTCTGAAGATCAAGCTGAGAGAGCTGGGTTTTATTAAGTGGCACTTGATTTAGTCCTAAGTAAAACCATTTGTATTTAACGTGATCCGCGAAGCTGCCGTAAGCGTTAACATATGTCAGAGTTAAACATTTCATTCTCAGGCCTCATCATGTACCCGGTGGGGTTGTGTAGGAGCCCGTTGCTGAACCTGGAGCAGATCTCCTTTAGAGGAAGCTGTAGCTTTTCCCAAAAAAAGCAGAGAAATCGCTCACGCTCAGGGCGGGACGGCATCGATCTGCGCTTTGTGAGCTGCTCTGGGGTGACTGCCAGGTGCAGCGAGCTACTTGCCACTTCGCTGTAGGGCAGAGCTTTTTTACCAAGAGCCAAAACAAACTTGCTGTAAAATCTTCTCCCTCCCCATGAGAACGAGGGGAAGAGAGTTAGCGCGCGCCCAAACTCTTTTCGGAGCTGGCACTGCAGGAAAACTCCATCCAATCTAGGAGTCGTCGCACTTGAACTGTAATAAATCCTGACAGACCCCACGGATGGGGCTCGGATCTCCCGCGGGCGAGCGTGCGCACAGACCACCAGGACTGAGCTGGGATTTCTGCAGAGAGGAGCCTCCTGATGTCGCTTGAGATGCCCCTTAAACAACTTCACGGATCGTAACGTGAGAGCAGGGATCGACCCGAGCTGCCGATTACTTGTTCCTGGTGGCAGGTCCCAGGCGGTTTCATTCCTGGTGGATCAGGGATATCGAAGCGAACGTACGTGCGTGTGCCCAGGCACACGGGTGCCCGTTTGCTCAGCGCAACTGCTGCGACGTGGAGGGCTCCCCGGGCTGATTTTGCGCCTTGAATGTGAAGAAAGCCTTTTGCATCAGAGTGAAAAGCCTTTTCTGGTTGTAAAAGGGATCCTGGCTTCGGCTCCCCTTAGCCTGAGCATTTCTGCCAAGTTGGCTGCTGTGATGTTAAGGATCTTTTAGTAGATGTTGCGTGCCGTCGCCCCCTTCCCTCAAATGGGGGTGGCCTCTGGGGTGCAGAGCTGAAGCCGTCTGAAGTTTAGGAATAAACCTTTGATTTTTCTCCTGCTCTTTTTTTTTTTTTTTTTTTTCTGATGCTTCCTTCATAATTCATATTAAGATTATTGATTAAAGGTAATTGCTGTAGGATATTATTCACAAACCATTAACCCTGATTTATAGCGGAATTCTTCAGCAAGCCCGGGTGCTGAAACATCACCATTAATTCTTTTAAGGCAGACTTACTTGAAATGAAGATTACTTGCCTTTCCATTTGTATTCCCTCCTTCCCAAAGCGCCAACGCTTTGATTCTTCCCTTTCAGTGTTCAGAAATGGAGTTGTTCTTTCCGTGCCTCGTAATCTCGCCCTTCTGCCATCTCTCCGAAGACTTTGTTTTTTGGCCTTGCAAGTCAAATTAACATGAGATTGCCGTAATTTGCATGGGAGCTGCGGGAGGCCATCTGACAGCGCCGAAGGCAGCCGAGGGGAATTGAATTCATCAGCTCTTGCGTTTGTCAGAGCCGGAGACCCGGCGCGAGTTCTGAGAGGAAACGTTTAACGTGAGCAGTTGGCAAGGGGGGACGTTCTGCTTTGTGGCTTTTCTCCCGAGCGCTGCGAAGGAGGAAAGTCTCTCCGAGTGCTGGCCTCACCTCTGAGCCTTGCCCCTGGGCTTCGTGTCTGTGTGCGGTGGGGCTTCCGAGCTGTTGCTGTTTCTGGGGTTTAGCTCCGCAGCCCAAATACGTTTCCAAATATATTTCAAAATACGTTGCTGATATGGACTCGTCGTTTTTCTTAAGTAGGAGCTTGGGCCATGCAGAAGTAGACGGAGAACACGAGGCAGCTCTGAGGGGAAGGGAAGCGTCGCCTCAGGATTGCTCAGTGCAGGGGGAGGGATCCTTTGGTGTGCAGAACTGGCTTTTACTAACGTCACCGTGGTGGTGTGGTCACTTAGATGTGTCAAGACACTTAAATTGCACGGTAGAGAATATTTGGAACGTTTGGTTTTAAACTATTTGGTCTGACAGGCTTCTGGCAAGCTACCTGTATCTGAGTAAGTGGGTTTTGTTTCCCGGACGAAATGTTTTCCTTTACTTGATGTGTCAGTATCGAGAGCAAACACGAAGTCACGATCTTAGGAGGACTCAACGAATTCGTTGTGAAGTTTTATGGACCACAAGGAAGTAAGTATATGACCCAGCCCTTCTATAAAAGCAAAGTAATGGCTCGCGGTGGGGGACGGTGAAACGACGCGTTCTTCTGGAGTGGAGGAGGAGACGAGCAAATCTAAGTAGGGCTGAGAAATCAAAGGGTGGCAGCGTTTGAAGGCTGCTCTCTCTGAAGGGCGGGGAGAAATACGACTGCGAGCAGCTGACCCGCTTCCCTTGTTGCTGGGCAGAGCTGGATCCTGCCTTCAGACAACTAAGCCCTCTGCTATGGCCATCAGCACCGCTCGTGTTGATCCTTCGGGTTTTTTCTAGACCTGGCTCATAAGCTTGGCATCAGTCACCTGAATTTTTGTGGCGGTTGTAATTAAGAGGGCTTTTCTAGTGACTAGATCACAAGTCAGGTCTCCAGCGTGCCTTAATTTAGTAACATCTCTAAAGGTAAGTAGATTATTCCAGAGTCTCTGTTTTAAATAAGGCTCCTGTGTCTTTGTGCTGAGATCTTCTGCGGCATCAGTTAAAATCGTGTATTTCTTGTCAGGCAGCACAGGAAAACGGCTGTTACCGTAGGTGGTTTGATATGAAATCTTACCCCCTGATGGAGCTAAGTATTCTTCCAGAGATGTGTTTTGCTTGATGCTGTAGTTCTATTTATTCTCTCCCGTGTTACAAACTGTCTAATACCTGCGTTTCTTTCGTTGCAGCACCGTATGAAGGTGGCGTATGGAAAGTTAGAGTCGACCTTCCTGACAAATACCCTTTCAAATCCCCGTCTATAGGTAACCAATTCCCACTTTCAGTCAAAATCCTGGTACTGTTTTATGCAGGAGATGTCATTGCTTGCAGCATTGTTGCAGGTGAAGTTGCACCAGCTCTCGGTGCAGTCGTAAGGTCTTTACCTCGAGTCTGCAGAATGCTTTTATGGTGGATTTCCAGATATCACGTGCCAAGCAGAGAGAAAGTTTGATCTTTTTCTGAAGGGTCATGAGCTGATTTGGTCACGCATTCATGTGTTAATGAGCTGAGTCTCTCCACTGTGTGCTTTTTAAGTAACGGTATCTGTTTGTGGGTAAGGTGCGGGATGCCCCAGTGAGTGCTGGTGCCTGTCTGCGTCAAACGACTTATTTAGTGCGGAGAGCAAAGACCACAGTGCACGTTCGTGATCTTGGGGTGAACCCACCTTTGGGGGTTCTTGTCCAAAAGTGGGTGGAAGCGAAGGCAGGAGCTGAAGCCTTTGTCCTTGTGGACTAAGTGATGCGTAAGTGGAAGAACGTAGAAGCAGGGACCTCTCACCAGAAAAATCACAGCTGGCTAGACTGGTCAGGCTTGTTTAACCTTTGAGAGCAAATAGGAAGCTTGATAGGGAAATGTTCTTTAGAGTGGATCCATCCTATCTTTGTCCTTGGGTAACCGTGATGGAACTCGGATGTCTTCTGGAACTTCATTCCAATCACTCCAGCTATAAATAAAATAGCCAATAATGCTTAAAAAACTGCAGTGGATGCACGAAGTTCCAGCACCTCGATTCTGGCTTGCGAAATAAGTGTTGGTAACGCCGGGATGTGGCGCTTCTCTGTCAGAAGGGCGTAGTTGTGGCTCGAGCCACCCAAGAACTGTAAAGCACGGAGAAAACTGCCCTTGGAGAACCGGTGTGGAAACTTGACTCTATGGGTTGGACGCGATGGGTCCCTTCCAATATCAACATCCTGATTTGGAGCTGATAAGTATTGGCTGCGTTCTTAAAATAGACTCTTACGCTACATATGCCTTCTATTTAAGATCTCTTTCTCTCTCTCTCTCTGGTGCGAGAAATAATCTGTCTAGTTCCAAATGTGAACCGAGCCTTTTGGGAAAGAGCAATGCAGTAAGCTGTCTTTTACCTTTTTTTTTTTTCTTTTTTTTCCTTGTTGAAACCTTAGCTGAACCACGGAAATGTGCACACGGCTGACTAACAATGCAGTACTGCCGCAGCTCTGCGAACTCGCAGCTCCTTCCTCTTGAGTCAGCTCCGAAACTCGCTGTAAACCTCTTAGGCTGGCGACTGTTTACGAGGTGTGCGGTGTGTTATTTGGTGCCGGTCGTTTTTGCCTCTCCCTGCTTCTCAAAGTGCCACAAACCTGGGGCAGATCAGGGCGCTGTCGTGCTGGCAGTCCTAAATGTGGGCTGGCTCCAGACAGCTCTCACAAGAAGCTTGTAAACCCTGGTTTCCTTGTTGTTAATTGCTTTGGTGCGAGCCTACTCGAGATTATTTTTCTCCCTCCTAATGTTCTTCTGGCGAGTATCCGAAATCAGAAAGCAAAACCAGACTTTCTTTCCAGTAGCCCGTGAAGCCGACGCGCTCGACGTTGGCCGGGTTCTCATGTATTCACAGCGCTGTTGATTTAGGCTCGGCTTAGGTGCATGGAACGTGGTCGTTTTGCCCTTTTGGTGGTTTTTATTTTCTGCCCAGATGGCTTTGGCCCTTTCTAACGCCGCTTTTGCTGTCTCCCTTTTTAGTACAGCAGCTTTCCTTCCGTCAGCTTGCTTACAGCCGCTGCGTTGCAGCTGTCTTATCCCGGACTCGTCACACCTTCGAGCGCGCTTCCCTCGCTGAGCAGCTGAAAAGCACCTCTTCTCTCGCGGAGCTCCCCAAAATCTGACTCTTGCTCGAGGGCCTGCCTTGCCGGCTGCTGGCAGCGCACGTTCCCTCCCGGGCGAAGCAGCGTGCAGCTGAGGTTTCAGGTTGAATAAACAGTCGATATTAGACGAGAGCTGGCTTAGCGACGGCTCTGCTGCAGGGAGGAAGGAGCTGGGGAGTGGAAGCTCGCTCCAGGAGAGCTCTAGGACCAGGGGAAGCTCCCGACGGGCTGCAGGAAGAGGTTTGTTTGTCTTTGTCTGGTTCCCATTTCTGCTGCCCCAGCCCAGCTTATCTGGACACCCGGGGCTGAGCGACGTCTCGGCCCTTTCCTTTGGGCCAGGCTGATCTCCGAGCTGCAGCTGTCGGAGGCAGACTCTGTTTTGGCGTTACAGATAGCTCCAGAGTCAAACCTTCATCCCGGGGAACCTTCCCAAGCTTGGCACCGAGGCGAGCTGAGATCCCGTTCTCTCCCATTTCTGCCGTTCCAGTGAGCACGGGTGTCCTCAGCCAGCTTGAGCTCTGGCTGACAGAGGGGGTAGCAATTGGTAGGGAAGAAATTTGCCACAGCAATCTCTGATCTGTAAAGAGATGGAAGAGAAGGACTTCAGAGGTGGTGGAGCCCGTCGATGGACGGAAGGTCGTCCAGAGCACACGTGTACCGTGGTTGCAGCCCTTCTGTTCTCAGCACCGCGTAGATCACACGCAGAGTTCGGATTGTCTGTGCGAGCTGCCGGCTTGTATAAAGTAGACAATCCAGCAGTTTCTTTTCCTTTAATAAATTACACTTTTATGCTGAAGCTTAAAGCAGAAATGCTGTCCTTGCAGCTTTCCTTGTTCCTCTAGTACTGTAGGCTAAAATTTCCTTCCCATCTTAGAAAATCTTAATGCAGTCTTTAACATACCATGGGGTGGTTTTCTTTTTTTGCAACAAATAACGCGACGGCTTGAAGCGTGCCCATGTGTTCTGAAAAATGACTGCTAATCGTTGCTTTCTAATCTGTTCAAATTGCTTTTATCCCAGCGTGGCTCTTGAGTATAAGGTACGTGAAAACTTGATATTCTTCTTCTGAAGTGCGATTGACAAACCCAGATGAAAAAGGTTTTGTTGTCACAAAGGGTTAGGGCCTTTTTTTTCCTTAAACCTTAAATGAGTGGTGGTCCTCGTCGCCTTTGAGGGTCTCAAGACTCGATGTTGTGGTTTTTCTCCTGCCAAATCTTTACTCCCGTGTCCCATCTGCATCTGCCTCCTCAAACATGCATGACTTTTTATTTGCTGCCCTTCTCGGGTCAGTAATTATTGCTGTAGCCTATTAAATGAGTCTGCCCCAGGGACTGGGCTATCTCTGCAAAAAAAAGCAGTTCCTGGGAGAGCTCCTGGTGTTTCATCATGTCCTGCACTGCCTGCTCCTTGCCCGGTCTTCGCTGGCTGATGGGATAGATCCCGTAGTGGTGCAGGATGCTTTTTCCTAATGAGAGCTGGGCAACACCCGGGGAAATACGCAGCCTAGAAAAACACGAATCTAAATGGAGCCGGATGTAGGGCTGTCGTGTTGGCTCTGGGCTCCAAGGGCTCCCATCGCAGCGAGCTAACTCCGCTCCTGATCCTTAAATCTTTCAGAGTTGAAACAAACCTCCTGAACTCCAGCAGTTTGTTAGAGCAAAACCAACTCCTGGAAAGTGCCCGGTTGCTTTCTGAAGCCGGGGAACGCTGCTGCTCTTAAGGCTTTTATCAATTAATGTAAATATCCCTGCGTGCTTCTGAGGACCTGGAGCACTCCCTTGCTAGATGTTGGCTCCGTTTTTATTTTCTCCTAGACGATACGTTTTGAGCTGTTTATGGTTTGGGTAACCTTGCTGGCACTGCTTCACTCCTTTTCCCTTCCCTCTGGGATTTCATATCTTCGGGGGAACTCTATGCCTGGTCTGTTCCTGCTTTTTTTTTTTTCTCAAAGGGGAGCTGTGCAGTATTTGAAGTGCTGTTTTGAGCGCCCGAGTCATGAGAACACTTTGTGTAAATTTTGTATGTTTTGGATCGGTCCGTACGCCTGCCAAGAGCCAGAGATTAATGCCCTTTGATGCCATAAACACGGGAGGGAGCGCAGCGTGTGAGTGACCTGCCCGGCTCAGATGATAGGAGCGCTAGAAACGTGAACCTAAGCTCTTACCTTGGAAGCACTGTGGCATTTATTTTAATGCTAAAACCTGCAGAAATTATTTGGCCGGCACTGAGTCACTCTGGTTTCTTAATAATCAAATGTCACGGCTGTAAAGTTTGTGTACGATACGCTCGGAGCCTCAATTTTTCGAGTAACTTCTGTATATTTATCCGCAGTTCTCATTTTCATTCCATCCCTGGCCCAGTTATCTGCAGGTATCTCGCATTTATGTTTCACCTTTCTCCGTTTTGCAAAACAAAACCACTTGGTACGTACACAAAACCTATGGAAGTGTGTGCGTATGGGTATGAATATAATGAGATGGTGTGGCAGCCAGCGCGGGTACAAAGCCGCGTTTAGCTCCAGCCAGGATTTAACAGATCTCTCCTGGCCTCTGCTTAATTTTTCTTTTCAACTGCAGCTGCTATTTTTACTTTCAGCTCCTCTCTGGATTGCCTTACGTTCTGCTGCTTAGAATTTCATGAGTCACTTATTGCCTGTGACCATTCTGAGCTTGTTGATCCTTACGCTGACCTGTAAGCGATGTGAAAACGCTCGTTCTTTCGAATACGCTTTAGCTTTGTCTAAAGGGAAAGCCGAGACACCTGAAGGTGATTTGTATCCTCGTCTCTCCGCTCGGGTCTGACGCACGACCGTGCACCCTCTGCACATTTCCCCCGCTGCGAGCCGAGAACAGGAGCGGACTGACAAAACCGGGGTAGGTGTTTTCAGCCTGACTTGGCACAGAACCGCTGCCTTCCGTGCCAGCTTCCATGCCTGGGCATCAGGTGATGGGGCACCTCAGCGATGAGATGCGCTGATACTGGGCTATTGTTCTGTGCTGATTCGACATGCTTTTGCCCCCCAGATTGCTGCTCTTCGGAAATTCGCTCGTGGATAGCGCTTTTCCGCTTCCAAGGACCGCTCGACGATGCGCTCTTCTTGAGCAGGGGCTCCAGGCTTTATATCTCTGCCACTGGTTCCCATCAGCTGCAGCCTTATTCTC